CTCCCAAGCTCTTCCTGATCTGGTACAAACTCCCCATTGTTCCACTTAACTTGGCCTGCCTGGTGCCCCACCCCCTACCTCCTCCATCCCAGTTCCACTCACACCTAAAAATGATCTCCCCACCCCGACCCCCACTTTTCTCTAGCAGAAGGCCCGAGACTTGTATGCAGAGGAGCGGAAGAGGCAGCAGCTGGAGAGGGACCAGGCTGCAGTGACAGAGCAGCTGCTGCAAGAGGGGCTCCAGGCCAGTGGGGACGCCCAGCTCCGACGGACGCGCTTGCACAAACTCTCAGCCAGACGGGAAGAGCGGGTCCAAGGCTTCCTGCAGGCCTTGGAACTCAAGCGGGCTGACTGGCTGGCACGTCTGGGCACTGCATCAGCCTGAATGAGGCTGGCCTCCTGCCACTTTGCCCTGCCCTCTGCCTCCAGGGCCCCACTCCCCTCTCTTTTCTTGGTGAAAGGCGCCTCCCTCCTAATGATGAATTGTGTTTCCTTTGCTTGGCAGGGGAGCCCCAGAGGCCAGGTCTGCTGGCCATAGATAGACCTTTTGGACTGCCTGGGACAGTGGCCCCTGGGGAGGGTTGAGGTGAGAGTCTCCCACAAGTACACTAAAGCCAGCTCTGGTCACCCATAGGTTGGAGAGCAGGGAGCCCCAGGTCTTTGCTGCCTGTTCCTTCTGCCTCTGCCACATCGACGTGTGCTCCTAGATGCACTTTATTTTTTTTACCAGCACATCCTTCAACACACTGAATTTCAGGGCAGAGGTCTCCCCAAAACCCTAGCCCTTTACCCTTCCATCTTAACCTTCTACCCGACTTTCACAAAAGATTTGGCTCCACCTTCGATCTGCTGGTAAATAGCTAATAGGCAGCCAGCGTTATTTGGGCAAGGAAGAGGAGGGAGAGACAGAAAATTTGCCCATCTGCTGCTCCTCCCCCTGGGCTCTCCACCTGGGATTTGCTATTGAATCTCTACCCCCTCCCACCACACAGTACTGATTGCTCACTGAAAGGCTCAGCGCCCCCAATGGCGCGCGGAAGCCAGGCGGGTGATTACAATCCAATTACCTATTGTCGACTCAGCCCACACAAGCTTTTCTCCTCCTCTTGCAGGGCATGGGGCCAGGCTCCACGCCCCTGTGAGACCAGCCCCCTCCATGACTACAGGGTAACAGAAGGGCCTGTAGGCCCTGGTGAATCTAATCCACCACAGGCCTCCTTCCCTGGAACATGTCACAGGACCCAGAGCACAGAAACAAGCTCTTCTCCCAACTGACTGACTGCTGTCCTCACCATCTCAGACTCTGCTTCCTACCGCCTCAGTCTTTGAGGCTTCTCTGTTCTTGACCTGGCCCCCTAAGTAGCCCCTGAGACTGATTTATTCTCAGCGTGGCGGAGTCTCCGCTTCTTAGGGCCAACACTGCCCAGCAGGGAGAAGAGGACCAAGTCAAGGGCCGTGTCCTTTCCCTTACCTCTCCCTGCCAGGCCTTGCTGCAGAGCTGTTGAGAGGATTAGTGCCTTTGAAGGGCTGTCTGCCTGAGCAGCTCTGCTTCAGGTGCCCGGAGCAGCAAGCACCAGCCTTTAACACCAGCCAAACACCACTATGTTTAGTCTTCCCATTTTACTTTCTACGAACTGTTTCCCCAGCACCTCCCTCTAGGGGAGAGGCGGGGTCTTGCAAGCAGTGCTCCCAGCAAAGTCTTTAAACCCCTAACTTCCCTGTATTCCAGTCTCCTCTTCCCCTTCCTGTGCCAGGATACCTGGCACAAGAGACCCATTGGCCATCATCCCTTCTCCCAGAATCAGGCAGAAATGCCAGACACTGCGATTGAGAAGCCAATCAATGCACCCTTTGGCAAGCCCCCCACACACACCTGGCATTCCCCACAACCAATCCCTGGCACAGGGTTCCCAGAGAGCAGGTGCTGTACATTTTCCAGCTTTATAATGGGGCTGTTGACAGCCTTAATTAGGGAGGCATGAATTATGCGGCTATAATGCAGAGCCCTACAATTAAGGCGGGAATGAGGGGCTGGAGGCAACAAACGGAATCTGCCCAGTGAGCCTGGCTATTGAGTCCTGTCTCCGTTCTGTGTCTGACTTTCCCTAATATGACTGAGGTACAGCAGAGATGATTAATGGAGCTGGTGTCTCTCTTTGGCGTATTCTGGAGAAGGTACACAGAGTGGGATGTGTAGGGGCTGAGGGACCACTACTGCCAAGGTGCAGGAGTTGCAAATAGTTGATAGGGACTCACTGTGATTGCTTTCTGCCTGCAGGATTTGTACAAACCGGCTCAACCCTTGCCTCAAGAAAGTAGGTGGGACCTATTTAAATGTCCTCTTAGCTGTGAGCCAGTCCCCCACTTGAGAATACTGTGTTCTTGTGTTCTGGGTTTCAAATAGAATTTTAAAAATTCTTTCTTAGATGTAAAACTTGTCTACAAACAGTACAACAGAAGAACACCTGGTTTTGCGGCTGCAGTTGTCTGCCCTTCCTCAGGTGCGCTTGGCTACCTCCAGGATCCCCAGCTTTGGGAGCGTGCGGGGTGGGGGAGCCAGTGGAAAAGCCCTTTTGCCATCGCAACACCTGTTCCTCTACTTGTTTCCTGATCCCCGGTCGCTTTCCTCCACCCTCCTTGTCCTCCCGCAAGTGAGAGGAAGCCAGCCTGCCAGTGTGGAAGGAGGGATTTCGCCAGCTGCGTTTGCAGCGCCCGGGCTTGGTGGCCGCGTCGGGTGGGGGCAGCTGAGCTTGATGTCTCCAGAGCGGGTGGAGCGTAGGGGGAGGGGAGTGCTAGTAGGCCTAGGCGGCTGCTCTCCATCATTCTGTGGCGGGGTTCGGAGGTTCGGGAATACAGGGACCTAAGGGAGCCACTCGACAGGCTTTGGGGTGGGGGGGCTTCCTTGGCATTTGGGGAGGCGGCTGAGAAGCGGGTGCTGAAAGGACAGCTCCTACCTGCCCCACTGCACCCGAAAGGGACCTCTGCGTGTAAAGTCTACCCCCTCGAACCCCCACCCCACCTCGAGCCGACTGCCTTCCAGGTGAGGAGCACGAGAGGATTCCTCGGAGTGGCAGCTTGGAAGGATGCACGTCCGGCTGCGCCAAGCTGGCTTCCCCGCTCTTTCCCCACTTCAGCGTCTGCCTTGGCCCTGGGAATTGCAGCCTGTGCCTCCACGCCGCGCGCTTCCTCCCGCCTCTGGCGGAGAAGGGCGGTGCGGCCAGGCCTCGAAAACCCTTCTTCTGGGGCCCCCAGCGGGAACAGGAAGGAAAGCGGCCGAGATGCGCCCTAAGTGTCGCATGGCTTGGAGAAGTGGGTAGCTGGGTTGCATAAGGTAGAAGGAACTTGGTAGTTTGCAAAAGGCAGCTCTTGGCGGGAGCCGAAACGCAGAGCCCGCCGACTCGCACACACCCCCCCCTCGTTTATTGCCATCGACGCGCGCCTCCCCCCACTGCGCCCCCACCCCCTAGGCGCGCCGCCGTCTCGCGCGCCCTCCCCCCGTACCCCCCTCCTCACTCCCTCCAGAGGAGGTGAGTTTAAACCCCGCCCACGTGACCCCAGCTGGGCCAATGAGCGGCGGCGGGAGGTGAAATCCGGTTCTAACCGGTCCGGGGCTCCCAGCGCTATAAAAACTTTATAAACCCCCCGGAGCCCGAGCAGTGTGAAGAAGAAGAGACGAGAACGACCCCCGGACCGGCCAAAGCCCGCGCGCCGCTGCATCCCCGCGTCCAGCGCTTACGTCCCGCCGCCGTCGCCACCATGCCCAAGAGAAAGGTACGTGGCGCGAGGGCCCCAGGCGCTGGGCCGCCACTGCCGCCGCCAGTACCGCTGCTGCCGCCGCCGCCGCTTCCCCGGCTTCGGGGCGCGAGCATCGGCGCCGGGCTGGAGCAGGCTCAGACGCCCTGCACAGGGGCTTGAGGCGGTGTCAGGCTGCCCCGGGCTAACCCTGCGCGGCTCGGCTGCCCGCGGGCGCCAGAGGCCATATTGGAGGAGCGGCGGCCGCGGCGGGAGGAGCCATGTTGGCGGCTGTTTATCCCGCTCCCCTCGGGTTCGACGTGCCCGCCCCGCGCCCCCTCCCCCATCGCCAAGCCCCCTCCCCTCCCCGCGGGCGGGCAATTCAAACCCGAAAGGGCGGGAAGGCGGCGCTCGGGCTTGGCGGGCGGGGGAGCGCGCTGCCGCCAAAAAACCGCCGCCGTGAGGGGGCGGGGCCCGTGTCCCTTGGGGCGGGGCTTCGCTGTGTGGCCCCGCCTCCGCCCACGGCCCCGGCGCACGGGACTCGCGCCGGTGCGCGCCGCTGCCGCCCACGAGTTCCCCCGGCTGCGCGCGCCTCCAGTCTCCCGCCCTCGACGGCTGCCATGGTAACGGCGCCCGGGCCCCGCCTCCGGAGGGGTTTGTTTGCACCATCTGCAGCTGTTGCTTCTGCCTGGCGCCGCGGCGCGGGCTGCGCTCCTCCGCGCTCTTCCGCGCTCCTCGCTCCAGTTTAGCGCGCGCTGCCCCGGGCGGCTTGGCGGAGGCTCCCGGCCGGCTGGGGCTCAGACGCCCGCCTTTACTGCGCGCTTTGGGCCATGTCGGGCGTGATGCTTGCATTGAGGAGTAGTCAGATCTTTGAGCACTTCGGGCATTATAGGAGCTGGGGATGCTAAAACCGGAAGATTTGTATGGAAAAGTTGTGTGCAAGGCTTCCCCCTTCGGTTTTCTTCCTTAGGACTATTACGTTTAGTGAGTCCTTAAGAATTGCTTTAGAAGCTACAACTTTCTTAGGCTTTGTTTGTCTTTTATAGGCTGAAGGGGATACTAAAGGAGATAAAGCCAAGGTGAAGGATGAGGTGAGTCTTAAAAAGCTTTGGGACTCCTTTGCTGGCAATTAACCACACCTCTAGTCCCGAATTTCCCTAAGCTTTCTGCACTTCCGGTAGTCTAGATCAAACTGATGAGAAAATTTTTTATCTTTTGATTTTTCTTAATTGTCCTATTTCTAATCTTTTTTTTTTCTTCTTTTAATAGCCACAGAGAAGATCTGCAAGGTTATCTGCTGTAAGTGTCTGTTATTAAATTATGTTTATCCCTGAAACTAAAAAGCATGAAAAATTTCCTTTGATTCCCGTGGGTTATGATTAGTGGCTGCTGTTGAATGATCTCCTCTCTTATGGGCTCTCCTGTTTGATATTTGCTGGTTCTGAAATTCTGGTGGCTGTAGACAAAGTGGGACACCTTGGTGTGTTACTTTAAATGGGTTCCTGAAGATAGGAAACTCCAGCGGAAAGCCAACCCTGGAAGCTTTACGAAATAGAAGAAACTTTCGTGCCAGTGGTCCTGTGGTTTGGCGGTGGGTTGTTTTCTTTGGTCCATCATACTAACGTTCTCTTCCTCTCTCCCTGAAATAAAAGAAACCTGCTCCTCCAAAGCCAGAGCCCAAGCCTAAAAAGGCCCCTGCAAAGGTGAGTGGAACTGAGAGACCAGGGTGCTTCTAGGAGTTGCGTAAGGCTGTGCCGTTTCCCACGTTGCTGACAGTTCTGCTGTATAACGGCTTCATCCATTGACACAGACTTGATAAGAGAAAGTTATTTGGACTGGGCCTTAAAACTGTGTTGGAATTGGTCATTTTCACAGTATGAGGCCTGTCCTTCAGTGTCTTTAATTCAGCACAGTGATGACTCCATTTATAGATTAGAATACTTACTGATTTGATAGCTTGCCTTATTTATCCCTGACATTTGTAGTACTGGTTTTCTAACCAAGAACTCCATCATCAGGATAAAAATAATTGAACAACAAGGTCCGGGGTGGGGGGGAGGGTGGTCATCAGTTTACAGAAGATTGTACATTTAAAACCCAGGTATTCAAGGGGCTGTTTTCTTCTATTATTTACACTCAAATAAAAACTTGTATGCTAAAGATCACAGCAAATGATAATTTGGTCTTGTTTTGATCCGTTTTTATCGATGGGGGAGGGTTTATAGTTTGTGTATGTGTTATCTTTGATAAACAATTCTGTGTCATACAGAATTTTGCAGACCATACCCTGCTAATGCGAAATTAGAAGAAACTATTTTTTCTCCCTTCCCCTTTTTAGAAGGGAGAGAAGGTACCCAAAGGGAAAAAGGGGAAAGCTGATGCTGGCAAGGATGGGAATAACCCTGCAGAAAACGGAGATGCCAAAACAGACCAGGTACAACTGCTATTTCACTTTTTGTGAAGTTGGCTGTCAGTCAGTTACCGATCCCAAAAGCTTTTATTACCTTTCTTCTGCGTCTGTATCGCCCAAGTCTGCTTTTCAGTCTGGAGTTTGCTTATGGTTTTTCCGTTAGCTTAAATTCTGGGTTCTTAAAGTCTCTGCCATCCAATAACGGGCACTGTAGTGTGAGCTCCGTGTCCCAAGCTCATGCTACACCATAGAGTTTTAAAGCTGAGGATAAACTCCCCTTCTAATGCTAATGTGCCCCCTTCCCCGATTGTACAGTGAGGTCCAGAGGGAAAGTTACCAAATTGTTCTCAAAACAAGGACTGCATCTTGAAGGATCTAAAATCTGAACTTGGGTGTGGGAGCAAAGTAGTGCTAGGGATGGGATGTGAATGAAAATAGCGTGAAATCTGTAGGTGGTAACATTGTATTAATCTTTTTCTTCTAGGCACAGAAAGCTGAAGGTGCTGGAGATGCCAAGTGAAGTGTGTGCATTTTTGATAACTGTGTACTTCTGGTGACTGTACAGTTTGAAATACTATTTTTTATCAAGTTTTATAAAAATGCAGAATTTTGTTTTACTTTTTTTTTAAGCTATGTTGTTAGCACACAGAACACTTCATTGTTTTGGGGGAAGGGCATATGTCACTAATAGAATATCTCCAAAGCTAGATTGATACAAGGGGAAAAACACCTTTCCCTTCTAGTTTTGAGAAACTTCCTCTTGGCTCCCAGGAGGGATTCCTTGATGTTGACACACATGAGCCGCCTTGGCACAAACCCCTCGGTGGTGTGGAAAAACTAAAACTCATTTTTTTATGTCTTCTCCCTGTCTGCCTTCAACATAGACTTGACTCCCTTAAACCCAGAGACCTGTTGGAACCTGACCCCCAAGACATGGTTCCCAGTATGTCAGGCAATCTGGACTTTACAGTGTCACCACTGAGATGGCATCCCTAAAAAAAAGTTCCTTTTTTAGCTCGTGGATCTTCAGATTGATAATTCTGCCATTTTCATTTCATTTCCTGAAAGTCAGGGTCGGCTTGTGAAAAGTTGTTAAACAACATGCTAAATGTGAACTGTCAACCCTCACTCTAAACTTTCCCTGTTCAGAGCATCTACATGAAGACTTCATTGGGTTTTATAGTGGCTTTCTGATTTTGGTAGTCCATTGAAGAAGGGAGTTTGAAAGTTGTTGTATACTGTTAACGATTGTCTGCCCATGTCCTGCCTGAAATACCATGATTGTTTATGAAAAGTATCTTTAATAAAGCTGGATACAGTTTGGCTTGGAATGCTGCCTCTAATCTTTTCCCAGGAGTGGGGGAGCCTGGTTTCTCCAGGTCTCTTGGGACAGGATGCATTCTGGTGTGAGGTGTAGAGGTTTCAGGTACAGCCGTTCTGGTCTCGAGTCCGTCTGTAGAACACGGTGCGGTTAGGAAAGACCCCCGGAGTGGGCTGGTGAGCGGCCAGGAGCAGAGGAGTGCTTTCTGTACTTGGTTACGCAGCATTACCTGAAGTGTATTTTTAAAGGCAGAGTTTGGGTAGGTCTGAGGTTTTGGCCTGGTAGCAGACAGCAGAAGAGCCTTTCCACTTCATTCACACTTAAAATCTCTATAAAGCTAGAAAATTAGTAGGTCCAACTATAGTCCTTGTGTCAGGAAAAAATGCTTTTGTGTCTGTATACGTTTGACCATAAGATGTGTTAGACTGATGGGCACTCTCTTAAGCAGGCCTGCAAGTCTTCTGTGAATTGATTAAATTCTTGTCCTTGCTGGTGAACTGCTCTTGCTCCAAAACCAGAGCTGTTAATGGGGACTTTCTAATTGCTTCAGTTTAGAGACCCTGCAGTGAAGCACCTTTCCTCTAGAGGAAGGAGCAAGAAGTTAGCTCTTAGGAAAGAGAACTTGTAATAAATTGATGCTTGCAATTTGAATGTGCTTTCACAGGTCACCTCTATCGTTTGGGAGAAATAAAGGGGCAACACAAGTGTTAACACCCTTTTTATGTGTGAGGAAATGAGCTCAGATGAAGAAACTTGTTCGGGCTTCTGTATACATACAGTGAGTAGCAAAGTCAGGGCTCAAACTCCCAGTTTTATTCAAAAATAACTTCTGACTTCTGTTTGGGGGCACCTTTTGGATAATTTGTCCACTTAGGCAATTTGTAGCCACTTGCTTTCTTTTTGCTGAAATCGTTCTAGGTGGTACACTCTTAATTTTTAGTCAGGGCAGTGTCCTCTTCAGAGTGGGGGATGGTACAGCTGTGAGGGAGACGGCATCTTGGTATTTGAGCAGAAGTTGCAGAATTTGAGAAAGGCACAGCTGGGGTTACTTTAATCAGTGTTTGTAGGACTTCAGATTCAGTTAAATGTGTTGAGCTATGGACCATGCTAGGAGCTCAGCCAAAGGCTCTTAATTTTTGTGTCAAAAATTAGGTGTTTTGCCCCCATTTTACAGTTAAAACATGAAGTGACCGGCTGAAGTTAAACCCAGTAGTAACTTTCTCTTCCTGTTACTTAGGAATTAGGATGAGTAGGGTGAGCTTGAACTTTGTTTTTCCTTCATGGGAAATATTTGCTGATGGGACTAGCCATGGACCATGAGAGTACCTGGGCTTACAGACCAAGAAACCAATCTTGAAAACAGGGTAAGACTATTTAAGCCAGCCACAATCATGCTCCGTGCCAGCCCTGACCCGAACGAAGTCAATGATAAAATGGATTTCCTTCCCCTGGCCCTGTCTCCAAGCCCGTTTTATCCCATCTCTGGGGAGCAGTCACCATAACCTGTATTAGAATGGATGCTCTGGGCTCTAAGTAAAATAAAATGGCTTAACCAGGAGGAGGATCAGTTTCCCTAAGAGAAGTCCTGAGGTAAGGTGGTTCTAAGTACCCAGCTGTTTCTTTCCAACTTTTCTGCCATGTTGTCCTCGGCATGTTGTCCAACCACCCCACCTCCCAAGTCAGCTGCTCCAAGCCTCAACTCGGACACTGGTGTCCAGAGGCAGAAGACCTGTTTCTCCTGAAGATAATTTCCAAGAAGCCTCTCAGCAACCTGAGTTTCTTTGGGCGGAACTGGACTGCCTGCCTGCTCCTATAAACCAATCATGGTGAAAGGGATGAAACTACAGATTCCGTTTAGGATTCACCAGAGTTGCTGGAATTAAATGGGGGCCGGGTGGGGGGGGATGGGAGATGACAGAAGAGGACAGGTGCCATGAGTGGCCAGCCGCCACCCGGCTCGGGGCCCATGGTGTCTCCAGGCCTCTCCGGGCCTGGCTTCACTGCAGCATTTGCTGAGCACGAGCCCAAAGTTGAACTAGAATTTGCATTAAGAATTCACTGTTTTAAAGCACGCAATTCAGTGGTTTTTAGAATATTCACAAGGTTGTGGAACAACACTATACAATTGCAGAATGTTCCATCACAAAAAAGAAACCCCATACTTAGCAATCACTCCCCCTTCCCTCTTCTGGCCTAGGCAACTGTGAATCTACTTTCTGTCTCTCTAGATCGGCCTATTTGGGCATTTCTTCTAAATGGAATCCCTGGACATGTTGTCTTGTGACTGGCTTCGTAGCATGAGGTTGTTGAGTTCCATCCGTGTTCTAACATGTACTTGATTCCTTTGGTCAAATAGTCCTTTTACAGATAACCTCTTCCACTTTTTGAAAGTTCACATTATGCCACTTTGCTTTTACAAAAGACCTAAAAAAAAAAAAAAAAAGGCATTGCAAGTTTCTTGAGCCTTTCTCCAGGCAACACTCAGCCTGAGCCTCAAGAGTGGCCCAAACCAAACCATCATAACACCTTTGAACTGTGTGAGCATCTGCTTTATCTCAATTTATTTTGTGCATCCGTTAGCAACCGTGTCCTAAGGTCTCCGACAAGCCTAAGAGAGGTTGTTTTTGGGGGTCCGGGAAAGCTCACAAACCTCTCCATCTAAATGAATGGGGATTGCTTCTGTCTGTGCCCCCTGGCTTAAGGAGTTTATGGGAAAGCTCTCCTGGATAGTGGGGAAAACCTGTGCCAGAGTTTGTTTATTCATTGATCAGCTGATAGGCATTTGGGTTCTTTCCACTTGAGGGCTTTACGAATCCTCTACTGTGTATGCATTCTTGCGTGGACAGATGTTTTCAGCTCTTTCCCACCTGTACCTTGGGGTAGGATTGCTGGGTCTTGAATCGCTGTCCCTCCCAGAGCTGCCCGGCCGTTTTCAGAGCAGCGGCACCATGTCCTGCTCCCACGAGCCAGGCACAAGGGTTCCGATTTCTCCACATTCTTCTCAGCACACATTTTCCCATTTCTTTTTTTATTACAGGCATCCGGTTGGGTATGAAGTGATCTTTCAGTGTGGTATGGATTTGTATTTTCCTCGTCCTAGGATGTTGAGCATCTTTCCATGTGTGTCGAACTTTTTTTTTTTTTTTTAACATGTTCAAATCCTTTGCCCATTTTTTGGGTTAAGTATACTCTACGCCCAACATGGGGCTTGAACTCACGACCCCAAGATCAAGAGGCACACACTCTACTGACTGAGCCAGCCAGGCGCCCCTTTTGCTCATGTTTTAATTGGTTATTTATCTTTTTATTGGTGAGGTGCAGGAGTTCTTTATATATTCTGGATATTAGATTCTTACCAGATTTATGATTTGCAAATGTTTTCTCCCCTTCTCTGGGTTTTCTTCACTTACTTGATAGGGTTATTTGTCAGACAACAATTTTTAGTTTTGGTGAAGTCCAATTTACTTAATTTTTTATTGCTTATGCCTTGGTGTCCTATCTAAATCTGTTCCACAGGACCACCTGGGTGGCTCAATCGGTTGAGTGCCTTCGGTTCAGGTCATGATCCCAGGGTCCTGGGATGGAGCCCCACATCAGGCTCCCTGCTCAGCAGGGAGTCTGCTTCTCCTTCTCCTGCTCCCCCTGCTTGTGATATCCTGCTCTCTCTGCCAAATAAGTAAATAAAATCTTAAAAAATAATAAGATAAATCTGTTGCCCAGTCCAGGGTCATAAAGGTTTATACTTGTGTCTCCGAAGAGTTTTAAATAATATTAACTCTTAAATTGAGGTCTTTAAAACATTTTGAGTTAATTTTTGTATGCTGTGTGACGTAAGACTCAAGTATTCCCATCTTTTAAAAACTGTTCTAGACCTGTCTGGGGCCCTCCGGTTCCTAAGATACTATTTGGTTGACCACTTCTCAAGCCCCTTCTCTATAGTTTCTCCCTGTGACATCATCCAGTGACTCACATTTTCATTACCTGCCCCCATCTCTCTGAGTTTAGTACTTCCACCAACCTCTTGTGCAGTCCCACCCAGAGGTACTACAGGCACCCCAAATCAACATGGCCAGAGTGGAACTCTTGTTCTTCACAAACCCACCTCCCCTACTCTTCCTGAACCTGGTAAAACACCACCACCTGTTCCATTCCTCAAGCAAGAAACCTGAAAGATACCCCAGATACCTCCGTCCCTCCCCATCATCACACATTTCCAGGGAAAGCCTAAATCATGATGACCTGAGTTTGGAAATTCTTGTTTTTTTGTCATGGAAAATTTCAAATAGCGCCTGGGTGTGTCAGTCAGTTAAGCGTCTGACTCTTGATTTTGGCTCAGGTTTTCAAATAGCGCCTGGGTGTGTCAGTCAGTTAAGCGTCTGACTCTTGATTTTGGCTCAGGTCTTGATCTCTCAGGGTTGTGAGATTGTCAGGCTCCTAGCACAGTGGGCAGTCTGCTTCTCTCCCTCTGCTCTTCCTCCCCGCCACTGCGCGCACTCTTCTCTCTCTAAAATAAATCTTTTTTAAAAATCCCTCAAATATGTGCAAAAGTAGACTAAACAAAACCCCATGTACCTATCACATAGTTTCAGCAATTATCAACTCAGCTAATTTCACTTAATTTATACCACGGGCTCCTCTTCCTTACCATCACCTGACACCCCATTTCATCCATAAATACTTAGGTATTTTTAAAGGATAGGGACTTCGTAGAAAACACAATATCATTAGCCTACCAAAATAACAATTCCTTAATATTATGAAATACTCAAATTCTCAAATTTCTAATTGCCTGAGGGTCTTTGTTTTTTTTCTTCAGTAATTTATTTGAATGAGAATCTATGTATTGCAAATGGCTGGCATATTTCTTATCTCTTGGTGCCTATAAGTTCCCTCCATCTCTCCCAGTCTGGATTTTGCTCTTTTTTTTTTTTTTTCAGATTTTATTTATTTATTTAACAGAGACACACCGAGAGAGGGAACACAAGCAGGGGGAGTGGGAGAGGGAGAAGC